GATCAACTCCACCCATATATTTATTGTAGTCTTTGATTGGATTTGGCACGATATGCTCAATCTAGAGCCATCTTTCATAGTCCTATCAACAGATGTTTTCTCATTACCATGATAGTTTGATGCTATATGTACCACTTTGTTATCTTTCCATTTAAAGATTCCAATACCTGAAGTAGAAAATCGGTAGTCAAATTCTCCTCTATGTATTTCAGAATCTTTTTTGAAATTTTGTGGCATCCCTTTACGATTTTGTCGAATTGTACCACAAGCTAATGTTTGTTGCGTTCTTAACTTTTCTAGGAGTGGAATAGTTGTAAAATAGTTATCGAAAAATATAAGTCTAGTTTCATTCCAAAATGGTTTTGTTAACTGCAATACAATTCTTTCTCCCAAATTAGTGTTCTCGAACTGCTTTTCTAACGTTTCATTTTTTTCCTTGGTACACCGAAAATTTCATAATATATCCATTTTGGTCTGCAATACACCACAATTTGTAACCCCTTTTTATGGGTTTCATTGGGTTATATTGTTTTAACGTACTGCGACCCTTGAATTTAATCATAGACTCATCAACACTAAGTTCACGAGTTCCAGATGAAGACTCCAAAAAAATTTGATTCAAACTATCTATCATAGGACGTAATTTGAACAATTTGTCTTTATTGTTATTAGAAATATTGTCATTATTATTGACGTGAATATTAGATAGTATTTCTACAAATCGATCTCTCGTCATAACTTCAGAAATAGCTGGCACATTTAAATCTTTAGACCCATTCCAATAATTTTTATATGAAGGTAGTTTATGATACCCCATACAAAAATTAATTCCAAAAAAAGAGAGTAGTTCATTTTTTTTTAGATTGAGATTTTTATTTTTTTTGAGTTGCGTATAGATTACTTTGGTTCAAAATGTTTTCTATGATAGGATTAATAAGTTTAAAAAAAATATCCGTTGCTGTTTTACAATCACCAAACATCACTTGATTGTAACCTAAATTTTTTTTTCAAAATCTGGTAAAAGTGCTGTAATTTCATTTTTTTTACGCCATTGCCTAACAGGATCTGGAGTGGTATTAGCAGCAAGTTCTAAAGTGTTATTATCGATATGTTCTAGTGTTTGTGTATTATCAGGTGCAACATGATCAGAAATAGGTGTATTGGACAAATTAGTTGAATTTGATACTCTTGGTCTCAAAGTTCTAGAAGAGCTTGGTGTATTAAGCAGCGCGCACACCAGATACGTTTCGTTACGTCACGTCGCGGCTTCCGTCAAACGGAAAGCTTTGCATAGTATTAATTCTTATGAACAAGCGCACACAGGTTACGACACGTTACGTTACGTCCCGTCTTAACGCGTGACGGAAACGTAAGAAGACGCGTATATTGCTGTTTAGAGCAAAATTGACGTATGACGGAACTGTGCAACAGCCAACAAGTACGTAATTAATGCTAAAATATTAATATTATAATTACAATATACAGTTTTTCTGTTGTCTGTGCAAAAAGTATTGTGATTTACCTACTTTACTTTACTTTTTTATTAAAAAATATGGAAGATGAATTATTAATTGAGTGCATACGTAGATACACTTTTATTTATGATCCCACTGAAAAAGGTCACGCCGATTTGCGAATGCTGAGGAATGCATGGGAAGAAATAGCCAAAACACTTGGAACTTCTGGTAAGTTTATTTTATTATCAGCTATGTTTGAAAATATTAAAATGATTATTAATTGTAGATCATATTTTATATTGTTATAATGCTAGTATATACTTGTTTGAATATAGGTAATAGGTAATAGCAGATAGTACACATGCATTATTAGGTACTCTTGTTAGAGTTAGTTTATTGATATTGTTATATTATATATTATATATATTATTTATTATTGTAATTTTATCTGTAATTATAATTTTAAAAAAGTTCAAATATTTTGAGAGCTATACTAGCTATGTATACAGGGTTAGGTACATGCCTTTTCCCACTGCCATGGAACTGAACCATTATCCGAGACAAAAAACTGTTTGAAATTTTCTCTAATATTGCAGGCTTCTCGTGGATTGTTTCCTCCAACACCAGTAAAATTATTCAATCCTCTTGTAGGTATTGTATCTTCCAATTCACCTGGCTGCCAGTGACAGTTATCGTTGCGTAAAAAATTATGTAAAACTGTCGTCGCCATCACAACTATGTCCATGTGCTCTGGTTTAAAGTTGAATTTCCTGTTGTAAATTTTAAACTTTTTCGCCAGTATACCGAATGCGTTTTCGACAACTCTTCTAGCTCGACAATGGCGATAGTTGTAAACCTTATTGTCTCGATTATTTTCTAGACTTTTCCCTGGAAACGGTCTCATTGTATTAGGAGTTAATGGAAATGCTTCATCGCAGACAATCACATGGGGGACGATTACATCTGAGTGTGGTAATGGTTTTGGTGGAGGAATATTTAAACTACCATTAGCAAGGGCTTGTCCTAAGGATGATGATTTAAAAACTCCACCGTCACTATTCCTCCCGTAAGCACCAATGTCTACAGATATAAATTTATAATCTGCGTCAACAAGAGCTAACAAGACGATACTGAACTCTTTTTTGTAGTTAAAGTACATGGAGCCTGTTTTTGGCGGTTTTTCAAATACGCAGTGCTTTCCATCCAATGCACCTATGCAATTTGGATAGTTCCAGATTTGCCAATACTTTTCTTCCACTCGTTTCCATTGGTCCTCAGTTGGTTGGGGCATATAGATCGGCTGCAAAACTTCCCATAGGGCTCTACATGTGTCATAAATTATTTTGCGAACTGTAGACTCACCAATCCTATTGCTAAATGAAATAGTCGCAATAGAGTCTCCATAGCCCAAAAATCTGCAAAATTTAAGTCCAAATAATTTGAAAGTTATACCTTACCTATGTATCATTTTACAATAATGTTTTTTTATTTTATTAAAAAAAATCAATACAGTATTCTAATAAGTATTTAATAATTTATTAAATTTTTAACTACAAATTAACTTTAAACTTTAAATTTAATAAATATTGAACTATGTATTTTTAATATTTTTTAACTACTATTGCTATAATATATTAGAAGTCTTGTATTAAATTTTGAAGCTTTTTTACCTAACAAATAAACTTTTATTGTCATTTATAAAAAAAAAAACTAAAAAAGATTGAACATTTAAAATTGAAATCTCAAAAAATGACCTCCCAAAGTACCAAGGTTAGGTCGAGAAGTTCTCGTATATACAGACACTAAAAAAAAAAATGAACATTGTAAAATCAATACACTCTGAGCGGATATATATAGCCTTAAAATAAGAAAAATATTTTGAATACATATTAAATGTTGTAATAAAAAAAACAATCTAAATAACTGGTGAAATTTTAAGTATCTATATGAAGTTAATTTTATAAATATTATTCGCTATATTAATAAATAATGTATGGATAATATCAATATTAATTTAATATTAATTTGTGACTTTTTAGTTTCGGAATGCAAAAAAAGATGGACCAGTCTTCGTGACCAGTATCGGCGAAATGTTGTTAAAAAAAAAAACAGTAAGTGGCCAGAGTGCAGTAACTCGTGTTAAATGGAGGTTTGAAGATACATTGTCGTTTTTATCACCACATATGAAAGAAAGGACTCAAAAGTCAAACTTGGATACTGGAAGTTCATCTGATTCTCATGATAACAGTATAAATATAACACATGATGATGAAACCAATCAATTTTTAGAAGGTTCAGATCAGTCGCCAATTCCGAGCAATTCTTCATATCAGGTCCCATCGCCACTCCCAAGTACTTCATCATATGCAAACCCATCGCCTGCTTCTACTATATCCTCATCTCTTGGCAGTAATTCACACAATAAAAAAAATAATAAAACTTCTCAACAACCAACGACTGCTCAAGTTCTTCAAAACTATATAGATTCAAAAAAAGCCAAGTTAGAATCGCCCAGTGACCACATTGGAGCATTTTTTACCGCTATGGAAGCAACTACTAGAAGACTGCCACCAGTTCTTCAAATCGAAGCAAAAGCTAAAATTGGTGCATTACTCTCGGATTTGGAGATGAAAGCTTACTATATTTCTACTGAACATAATGTTTCTATCGCTTCGCCACATCAAAATACCAGCTTATCCAACTCCTTCAATGATACAGCAAATATGACACTAACTGCACATAATATTGCCTCACCACTTGAAAGTACTTCTTTTATTAACCAAACAAACAATATGACGCCAACTGTTTCTCCTAGCAAACCAATGGATTTTTCTACTAACCAACATCGTATAATTGCTCATTGTACAACACACATCAACTTCTGAAGGACAAATTGAAATCTTTGGAATCGACAACAATTTATATACTTTTCAATAATATTTTTGGAGTTATTTAAACATTTTTTTAAAAATTTGTAATATTTTTTTAATATTGAAAAAAGTTCAGTAAACAGTAATAAACCATTTCTTTTTAAATTATGAATGTATATTATATGTATATATTATGTTTACTTACTTTAGGGTGATTGCCAATATTTCATCTGGTGGGATACAGCGCCTGAAATTTGTGTCTTGCTTTTGTAGTTGTGGCAGCATGTCAAGTAAATCAAAAAATTTGTTCGAACTCATTCTAAAATATTTAAAAAATTTTGACTCATCTTGAAGGAGGTCTGGAAATAACGTATGGAATTCTCCATGCTCATCTCTTTTTGTGTTGATGTTATGAACCCATAACCGTTTTTTTTTCGCCTTCTCTTCCTCCTCTGCAATACTTGCCATTATAAATAGTTCCTCGTCGGATGAGAAGTCCATGGTAAAATTGTAATATAGGTGTAATAACAAATTTAATTAAAAAAAAAAAATACTAATGAAAGAAAAACCACAACCAAATACACTATACTGTAGCAAAAATGTAAAATGCAGATTGACGACGACTGTCTGACGATTATTGGGACGGAATCTAGACGTATCTAGTGTGCGTGACGCTAACGTTACGTCACATCACGTCTCCGACTGTCTCCGTAACGTAACGTGACGGAACGTAACGAAACGTATCTGGTGTGCGCGCTGCTTTAGTGATGTTTAGACTTGCGTCTTCGGTTTGATGGCAACAGTCAAATTCCGGAAAATCAAAAATAATTACACCCGAATTATCAGTAATTAATGGTTCTTTGTTATTTTCAACGGTTTCACATTCATTTTGCAAAAAAAAAATTACCAAGTTCAATTACCTCTTGTTGGGCTTGCTCATCGGTATCGCCATCATCTATATCGTATTCGTCCTCAGATTCTGGATCATCCGGAACATCCATTAATAACCATTCTTCAATATCTTGATCTTTTTTACATGCACTCATTTTTAAAAAAAATAATTTAAAAGAAATTGTTTTATGATAAAAATTGACGATGATAATATATAAATTATATACGAGACGTGCGTACGTAAGATTATGTTATATATTTTATTACAGACACACGAACGATTGTTTTACGACTGAGGAATACTAACGGGATATATGAGTCCCACGACAAAAATGTTGATTATTTTCGTAAATATTGATAATATTGACACAAACAAAATTCGATAACACTTTTTAGAAGTACTATAATGATTTGGAATAATATGTAACAGTTATTTTTTAGCAACAGTCATAACAATAACGAAAACAATATCATGATTTGATACATAAGGTTTCGAGAAGATAAGCTAGCTATTATGAGCTAATAATAATATTTTATACCAATATATATGTATGTTTATATTTTTTTTCGTTTTTTAAACGGGACTAAGATATCCTATCAGGCCATAACATACCAATTTATAGAATAATATATTTTCTATTGATATTCAAAGTGTCCGGGACTTAAACGTCCCGCCAGTACCGAAAGGGTTAAACTATTAAAATATTAAATTGTAAATACTATTTTATACTATTATTATTTTTAGTAATACGTAACTGAACGAAGTACAACAAG